GACTACCAAGCCCAGGAAGGGTCGATGCCATTGGCTTGAGTGAAGATAGCATTTTGCAGTAACAGAGTTTATGCTCAACATTCTTGTATTATCTCTTTTCAGGGCTAACAAAGCTTTGCTGAGCAATTGCTGTCCTAGTAGATGCTTCACTGCTGCACATTTCTTTTCTGTCCCTTAATTTACTTTATTATTTCCTTGTGTAAAACAACTAAAGCATTTTCCCTCCCCAGACCTGTGTCCTTCCAGACCTTTTTGAATGCATTTACATACTGCATTTTCTCCTATAAGAATAGAGTGTTGCTTTGTGTAGAATTTTTTCCTTTATACACGTTGGGTCTTTCTCTGTATTGCCCTATATTTCTCTATCTTTCTCTATATTCACCCAACAACATATCCTGGCAACCTGGATAGATCACATATAGATCAACCTCATTCCTTTAAAATACATGGTATTTTTTAAACTGCCGCGTCCATGTTTATTTAGCTCTCCCCAGTGGATGGGCAGATACATTGTTTCCAGTTTTCTGCTCTTGTCAACAGTATGGCCCCCAGCCTCCCTGTAGAGCATCTCAGCACACGTGTGAGAAACACTGTAACGGACACCGTCAGCGGCCCGCCGACCTGGCGTGCGTATTCACCCTCTTGGCAACAGCACTTGGCCTGATGTACTTCCCCATGCCTTCCCCAGTTTCTATCAAACCATTTCCACTGTGGCCCATCAACAGGTACCCAAGTGGCATCTCGCCATTGCTTTAATGCCTGCCCTTTCGTGTATTCAACAAATATTCACTGAACGTCTAATGTGCACAAGCACTTGGGATGCAGCAGTCAAGAACAGCATGGTACCTTGGACCTCTTCACAAAGCATGAGGTACAGAGAGGCTCAGAGAGGTTAAGAGACAGGCCTGGCATCACCCAGAGAGCGAATGGGGGAGCTTGGCATTGACTCGGTCTGTGTAGCTGTAGAGTTTGATGTATGTTTTCATCCTGAATCCTTTCTCAAATGGGCATCTCATCCCAGGCACTGCACCCTCTTCCTTGACTGCTCCCTCCTCCCCCAGGATTGCTGGGTGTCCTAGTGACATCTAGGGCCTGCAGCAGTGACAGTGCCCCGGGCAGCTGAACCCAGCCCTACCACGGGCGGGGCTGTGTCTGTTACCCAGACCTCACCTTACTTCAGTACCCACCGAAATTAACCAGAAAGGCAAGACAGGGTGCCTTCAGGATCCGCGTAGCCTCTCGGTGGCCGAATCGGGTGTCTGTTTCTTTTTCCTGAGTTTGGGTTTCCAGCAGGCCTGCCCTCAAACTACTGCTGCCCCACCCCAAACCAAACAAGTGAAAGAATGAATCTGTGGTTTGATGTTTTTCCTCTTGTCATCATGTGTCTGAGTGTGGGAGGCTGGATGTGTGCCTGTGAGTGCTTGCTCGTTTCAGTGTGAGGGGAGGTAGGTGCAAGCCTGCCCGCATCTATGGGAGGGTGTGTGTGGATTTGGGGGTCTTCACGCAAACTGAGGTCACTGGATGTGAGTGGGTTTAAGTGGCGACTTCTTTGACATGTGACTGGGTATTTGTGTGTGTGTCCCTTTTTTTTTTCCTGCATGTTTAGTTCCAGGGAAATGTGGGGTTAAGGGTGGGTCTGTAAACCATGCATGTGACCCAGTCTGTCTGCTTCCCAGTTCACTTCCTCTGTTGTAGAGATGGTGTCTCTACACCTCCAGTGGTCATATTATAAAAGGCCCTGTTCAGAGAATAGGGAAGTCCTCTGGTGAGCGGGGCTCAGAGTCCCTGACCCAAGGGACTCTCTGCCCAGGCCCGCTCTCTCTACCTTCTCCCTTAAACGTGCTCCCTAGAAGTGCTCTCCAAACTCTTTTGCACTGTGGCTTCAATGACTGTCATGGGAGTGTGTGGTTTTACATTTTTAGATAGGAACCGGGAGGTTTGGGGCAAAGGATGAATCTCCAGTCCTAGACCTGCCCTCCAGCAGACCTTGATCAAATCAATTCACTTCTGAGTCTCAGCTTCTTCATCTGTAAAGTGGGAATAGTGATGCCCCCCGCTGAGGGCATGTGGATTCAGTGGAAGTGTATTATGTCAAAGGGTCTGGCACCTAGTAGGTGCTCAGTAAATGGTCACTTCCTCAGCCTGATTGGGCCCTTCCCCACACTCTAAGAAGGTGCGTGGTGTCAACCTGGAACACTCCCTGCTGTAAGTGCCGACTGTCCCAGACCCTCTGCTAGAGGCTTGCATGGTTATCGTCTCAGCGAACTCCCAGGGACTCCTCAAGGGAGGTATTTTAGCCCCCAGTTCACAGAGGAGGTGACTGGGGCACAGAGAGGAAATGACTTGCTAAGGCCACACAGTGGAGCTCTGGAAGAGGACCTTCCACAGCATGCCACTGCTCCTTCTGCAGAACTCGGACTTCCTTTTTTACTGAGCTGTGACATATTATATTAGTCACAACGAAATGGCAAATGTAACTAAGTGGAAGAGATACAAATCATTTTCTTAAAGAAATGATATATGTATCTGTTACGAAAGGATCTCCACAATAAGCCCCCTTTCGGCCCCTCTCCCTGCACTGCAGGCACCCCCATCATGTCCACGTCTGATTCATTCTCCATCACCACGTGCTCCATCTCGTTCCTTCAGCCCAGGTGCCAAATCATGCACAAAAGGGAGTGAGAGCAACCACATGCCAGTCCTGGGCCAGGTGCCTTTACACACCTGTGGCTGCTGATCTCCCTGAGGCTGGAATGGTTACCCAGCTACACAGATGAGATAAATCAGTCTCAGAGTGAGTGTGACCAGCCCAAGGTCCCCAGCTAGGAGTGTGGGAGCCAGTGTAAAACAGAGTCTGACCCTAAAACCACGGTTTGTGGGTTTGAAGGTCCAAAGGTAATTTACACAGGACCCCGACCATTCCTTAATCCTTTTATCTGGCAACTAATGTTTTAAAAAATTGTCTAGTGCTTTATATGCCCAGTTAATAATAGTAAAGTGTCACTGAGTACCTACTATGTGCTGGGCCTAGTAGGTCCACAACTTCACACACCTGGTCTCCTTGAACCCTCCAGCCTTCCAACAAGAGACCCACTTATGGATGAGAAGACCCAAGTTTTCTCTTGATAATTGGTCTAATCATTTAATGACACAGTATCTTATCTCCTCATTCATTTGGAACCTATGCGCCTGTAGGGCTCTCCTCACCTCTCTCTTCCCTCTAACTCTTACTCCAATGCCTTTATAAGCAGGCGCCCAGTAAATGTTTGCTGAAGGAGGAACTCGCTCCTTCAGCCCATGTGTGGTGGAGATCTCCAGTGCCATCCTTCTGTCCCCCTCTCCCGGCCACAGTCTAGCAATGGTTCTTCCTCTTGTCCCTTGTGCCCTCTGCAATTCAGCCTCTACACAGCAGCCAGCACAGTCTTTAAATACACGTTAGACCTTGTCACACCAAATATAATGTCCAAGCTCTCCACAGCCTGCACACCCCTGCACAGCCTGGCCCCTCCTGGCACTCCCACCTCCTTTCCTGCCGTCTGTGTACCCTCTACCAGCTACTCCAATCATTGGGACACCCCGAGTTGTTTCCCCTCTTGGGGCTCTTGCACGCGCTGTTTCCTTGGTTGGAACCCCATCAGAGTTGCTCTGCGTCATGTTACCTTGCTTCACCACTCTTCCCACCTGTCTCCTGCCATACCTCTGGGCTGGCTACTGTGTTTGGATCACGTCAACTGTGTGTGGGCCTGTGGGATCCTGTGTGTACATGCTTGTATACACAGATGTGTGAGCCATAGGGCAAAGGAGGGCTCTGCACAAGCAGAGTGTTGCCCTCTACTTTGAAAACTTCTCGGCGTCTCCACCCTCCATTCATTTCTGCTCCCATGATGCCATGGCGCCTTACGCTTTCATGAGGTCTCACCACAAGGTGCACGTCCCAGCTTTTCTGCTTTGTGCTCTTGAAACACGACACCTTCAGTGAATTCAAAATGCTGACTCAAGGAAAGTCATCCAGGGTACAGCTTTAATCATTGTCACATAGAAAACACTTATAACATCTTCCTGCAAAAAATTTTATTTCCTTCTAGCATTCCACGTGCGATGGTGTTTCTCATTGGGGTGGAGCAGGCACAGGAGCAAGCCGTGCAGTGCAGTCTTGGTTGCGTTTCTGCCCTAAGTGAAAGGAATAGGAAAGGGACCTTTAATAGTTGTACTTCATGAAGTTACTAGCCCCCTTCCATGGGTCTTGTACTGCTTGTTTGTAATCAAATATGGGCATGGGTAGAGCATAGACTTTCACCAAGTTCCTTTTGATCTATGAATCCATCCATCCCAACCATTTAAAAAGACAAGACTGGGATGACTCGTGGCCCATCCATGAGTCATCCCAGTCTTTTTATCCAACATTCATTTCATCCTTTCAGCTATATCCAGGCTACCCATCTACTTTCAGTCCAAACCTTTGTTCTTCCATCCATTGGTCCATTCAATTCATCCATCCCGTTAACCATCTGTCAGTTCACCTACCTATTTTTTTGTCCACAGTGATCTAGTCATCCACCTACCTGGTCAATTATTTAACCAATTCACCATCCATTCACCAACCACATCCAGACTCCACTCATTTAATTGATGCATTCTTCAGTCTATCCATCCACCTGTCTATCAGTGCACTTAAGCAATTATTAACCTTTCTACCATATCTCTTTACCTAGCCACCCTTCTAATGAATTATTTATCCACCTAGTCTCCTGTCTACCATTCATCCTTCCACCTAGCTAACTTGGCGCTTGTCCACCTTCCCAATCAACCCATCTAGCTTATTTGAAGAACTAGTCCAGCAAAATGCATTATGTATAAAACTTCCATAGTTTTTACTCTCCTTCTTTATCACTGCCTGTGGTTCCTCTGTGCTGTAGCCAGCAGGCTGCAGGCTTCACCTCACTGCCCCAGAGTCTGGCTGGGCAGCTCCCCCTCACCTGGGGAGTTCTGTGGCCTGAGCTTCACCTCTTAGTTTTGTACACCTATTGGTTCCTCTTGACCGCCTTCCTCTTGTTCACTTTTCCTTTCAAGTTTTTTCTCTTCTTGGTGCAGCTGCAGGAATGTGCGGTGGTTTGTGTGCGGCAGTGGTAGGAATGCATAGTGTGTCTGTGCCATCTTGGTGGTGGGCTGGGGCTTGGACTCTGGCTCTGGTGGCCAGGTGGGCTAGGGTGGCTGGAGCTCCTGCTCCGGCTGCAGCTGTAGCTGCAGTTCTGGCAGTGGTGGCTGCAGTCGCACTGTTTGCAGGTGTGGCTTTGGGGCTAAGAGTTGTTCTAGGGCTGGGTGTGGATGATGGGAAGGTTCTGTGTCCCGGTGTCCATGGGAGGCCACACTTGGAGGGGCAGAAGCTGCCTCCTCCTCTTCTTCCAGCACAGCAAGCTTTACAGAGTCCCTGGCATCCTCTCGTTTTATAGTCAGGCCCAGTTTTGACAAGGGTGTAACAGGTGTGGCTCAGTAGGACAAAGCCCTCTATTACATACCCCAACCCCCAGGGTGGGGCAGCTTTCAGGAGCCCTCTGGGGTAACCCCATCTGCTGGTTAAGGGTAGGGACCCTTGGGTCACACTGAACTGAGTCCACATCACAGATCTGCTTTTTCCTTTCTTTATGAGTCATTCAGCTGGGCATTCACCTCTCTAAGCCCCAGTTCCCCTATCTTTATAGAGTGGGGACAATAAGAATACCTACCTCCTAGGGGTGCCAGACAAATTAAATGAGACCCTGTGTCCAGCAGTTGATTCAGGGCCAGCCCACAGGAAGAGCTCAGTAAACATTGGCTAAGAATTCCAGCTCTTTCTTATTCCACCCAGGAAGTTTAGAGGCCAAGGGCACAGTCCTGACCCCAGTGATAGTTGACTGCAGGGTGGGTAGTTGATACTGTTGAATGGATTGGATGGCTTATCAGATGAATGATAAGGATAATGGATGAAATAGGCTGACCGGTGGTCCTGGGGCCTGCAGGGCAAGCCACTTTCTAGCAAGATTTAGAGCCAGGTTCAATCCTAGTTTGGGCTGCTGTCCTATCTTGGGTTTATCATTTTGTTTTTAAGGCGTGGCTTCCTTATCTGACAAAGGGATGTCATTCCTTCCTTCCTGGTATTCTTGTGAACCTGAGGCGCCTGTCAAGCCACAAGAGGTCCTTGAAAACTCTCTTCCTCTTTCATATCCCTGCCTCCTGACTCTACCCCTGCTCCCTGCTAATGAAGCCCCATCTATAGTTGGAATCACACCAGCCCCAACCCAGATCTCCCAGCACCTATGGAAGAGAGCCCAAACCTGTGTTGTTTAGGAAGTCCTGTGAGCAATAGCAGCCCAACCCTGCCTACACCTTGGCCAACGCCCTGGGGTGTAGCTCTTGACCACTCAAGCCTGCATCTTTCCCCTCTTCCCCATGAAACCCCCTCAGTCTCCATCCCCCCTCCCCTGGCAGGCCCCTCACCCATGTCTACTTCTTCTTCTCTGTCACTCATGCACACTTTGCCTCTTGTTAGGAGGCTTTGCTGTTATCTACTTTCATTACAGTCGATTTCTTTTTTTTTTTAATTTTTTTATTGATTATGCTGTTACAGTTGTTCTATTCCCCCCTTCATTCCCCTCCACCCTGCCCCCCATCCCCACCATTACCCTCCCTTTAGTTTATACCATGTGTCTCAAGTCCTTTAGATTCTATATTTCCCATACTATTCTTGCCCCCGTTTTTTTTTGTTGCAACTTTGAGATTATTTGAGAAGCATGTCATTTCACTCACAGTGAAAACCACCCTCATTTACTGAGCACTTCCTATAGCTCTGCTCTGGGCAACCCCCTTTCTTTTAGGCAGCTTAGTCCTTGAGTCTCACAGTGGCCTCTTGTTGTGGAGGCTGAATGGTGGCCCCTGAAGATATATCCAGGTCCTAATCCCAGAACCTGTCAATATGACCCTATTTGGAAAAAAGCATCTTTGTAGACGAGATTAAATTAAGGAGAGTGTCTTGGTCACCCAGATGAACCCCGAGTCCAATCGCAGTATCTTTATAAGAGGCAGAAGAGAAGACACACAGGGAGAATAGACCAGGTAAAGGCAGAAGCAAAGAAGGAGCCGCCGTGAGCTGTACAGGGCAAGGAAGTGTTCTCCCCTAGGACCTCCAGGGAGAGTACGGCCCAGCTGACTTCTTGATTTCAGATTTCTGGCCTCCAGAATGTGAGAGGATCGATTTTTGTTATTTTTTTTAAAGCTTTTATGTATTTTTAGAGAGAAGGGAAGGAAGGGAGAAAGAAGGAGAGAACACTGATGTGTGAGAGCAGCACTGATCAGTTGCCTCTCGCACGCGCCATGACAGGGGCCTGCACCCAAACCTAGGCAATGTGCCCTGACCGAGAGTCGAACGGGCAGCCTTTCCCTTTGCAGGATGACACTCAACTGAGCCACGCTGATCTGGGCTAAATTTCTGTTATTTTAAGCTGCCAACTTTGTGATCATTTGTTGCAGCAGCCCCAAGAAACTAGTGAACCCTATAAGGCAGGTGTGGTTATTACATTTTACAAAGAAGAAGCAGACTCAGAGAGCCCGGGGACCTAGCCCGGAGTCTTGCAGCTAGTCAGTGGCAGAGCCGGCATCCAAACCCAGGTCCAGCTCCCCCTTGTCCTGCCCTGTGGTTGCTGAGGGGTCCAGAGGGGTTACGGAAGGCACATGTGGCTCTGTTCTGTGGCCTTGCCTTGTGTGGGCTCGGTTGGGCTGGTTGGAGGCCATGCTGTGAAAACTCTTTCCGGGCCCCCGTCTTCCCCCCACACCTCCACTGCTAACCCCCCACTTCCACATGCTTGCATGTGCAGTGGGACAGAGACTGCGCTTTATTCATCTCAGAGCCCGTAGAGACTGGCACATACAGAAGAGGCTGACAGATGTTCACCGGGTGACTGCATGGGCAGGCAGATCTCTGGGAATTGGACAAAAGGACAAAGCTGGTCGACCAAGTTACTCGGTCAGGGGTATGGGTAGGAATCAAGGACAGCAGGGGCCTCTTCCTTCAGACATCACTTGCCCTTTGCTGTCTACAAGTCTCGGCAGTGGCCTCCCCCCTGAGTAACCCAAGGCCTCTCCTTACCCCTGACACATAATCCCCACTCTAAAAGCAGCTGAAATTCCCTGGGAAGACTGTCCCTTCCCTCCCCCAGCAGCCCTGATCAGGATTCTTCTTGGCCAAATGGCTTGTTGTTGGGGACCTCCCAAGGGTAGAGATCACATCTGTCATTTCTTCAGGGGCAGGATGGACAAAAGACACATTCTGTTGCTTCTCTAAGTGAACAGAGTATTTGAACATGAGGCCTGGGTTCTGCATCTGTGATTGGTAGCTTCTCCGGGCTTCCTTTGCCCGTTGCTCTAATGAGGACACAGGTGCTGCCCTCACAGCCAGACCCCTTGATAAAGGCACACAGGATCCTCTGAGGGCACAGAGGGCCACCCTGAGTGTGAGGTGGCAGCCAAACCATCACCGGCTGAGCAGCACTCAGACCCCTCCACCCACTCTGATCCTAAAAGCAGGGCCAGCGAGGCAGATGGGGCCACCACACTCCAGTGACAATACCGTCTTACACATTCACTCTGAGCCAGGCCTGGGCCCACCGAACATTTCAGTTAATTCTCCTGACCCACCGACTGACTGGTACTAGTAATCTCGCCCTTAAGCTGGGGAGAGCAAGCCAAGGCTTAAAGGCAGACAGTGACTTGCTCAGGTCACACAGCTGGCAGAAGGAAATTTGAACCCAGGTGTGCTGAACTCCCAAGCCAGTACTGCTGAACAAAACTGTCCGTGGCTAGAGCAGCAGAATGGAGGGTTTGTTGAGAGCAAGTGCCTGTGTCTGCTCAGACTTGGAGAGGAATCTCCCCTGACTCACCTCTACCGCCTGGCCCGTCATACATATACCCTGAGATGAGACTGCCTGCGGTGACTTTCCAGCCCAGGCTACCACATTTTCCCCGCCCCTTCCCAAACGGGAGGGCAGATGAGAAGCCACAGAGAGGAAACCTGTGAGAACGTCTGGCTGGACATCAGGAGCAGGGCCACCGACTCCTCTTCAACCTTCCTAGACACACACACACACACACACACACACACACACACGCAAGGTACCACAGACACTGGGTTGGGGAGACCAGAAAGGAGGAGAATTCCTTTGGAGATTTTACTGATTCTTTTCTGAAAGTTCTCACTGGAACAGCAGCAGGTACCTCTTCCTGGGTCATCAGCTGGGATCAGGAGAGTGTCTGCTTGGGCTTGGGGCTCTGCTGGGCCACGGGGTCGTCTTCGGTGCCCTCCTCCTGCCTTTCGGGCTCCATCAGCAGCAGCTTGCCCTGTACCGGGAGCTCCTCTTCTTCTTCCTCTTCTCCTTCCTCCTCTTCCTCACCCTCTGAAGACAAGGAGAAGTTATCTTGGCTCACGCAGGCCACGAGCTTCTTCATGGAGGATTCGTGGCCCCGGCTGTGGCTTGTGCTGAGCTTGGCACAGTGGGAACCCATTGCTTGCTTCGGTTGCCTCTGTGGACTGGGAGGGAAGGCCACTGGAGGGCCATGCAGAGTGGAGGGGCCATGAGCATTGTAGGCAGGGCACTGACATCACAAAGGAGCCCCTGGAGTCCCCCGCCCTCAGACACCTGAGTCACAAGCAGCCCCTGTGAGCTCTTGCCACCTACAGAGCAGGACAGAGACAGAGTCCAGGCCAGTGCCAATGCCAGTGCCAGGGCCGCCTCCCCTTGCCAGGTGGCCTCCTCCACCTGGACCCATTTGTCCTGATAAAAGTCCCATTTTTAGCCCCGACCAGTGTGACTCAGTTGGTTGGGCATCGTTCCTCAGAGTGAAAGGTCACCGGTTTAATTCCCAGTCAGGGCACATGTGTAGGTCACGGGTCAGTCCCCTGTCAGGGCTCGTGTGAGAGACAGCCAAGTGATATTTCTCTCCCTCTCTTTCTCCCTCCCTTCCCCTCTCTCTATTAAATAAAACCTTTAAAAAATAAAAGTCCCCTTGTAGCTGGGATGACAGTTAGGGACAGAATTTCCAGGAGCAGGAGAGTGCACAGACTCCTCCCCCTATCCCAGAAATACCCAGCCTAAGAGAGCTGTTGACAATATGCGACAGTTCAGTATGGTGGCTACCTTTTGGGACTGGGGACACAAAGGAGCCTTCTTGTGGGAAGGGCTGAAAAATACTTTCTTGACCTGGGTGTTGTCTATACAGGTATACTTAAAATTTGCATCCTCTGTATAAACTACACTCCTAGAAAACTAAAGAAAACCCCTTTCCTGTCTTCCTAAAATCACCCTTTAAAGACAGTGCTCCTAAGATTTCGGTGTCATAGGTCTTCTTAGCTCCGCATGCCCACATGACCCAATTTCAGCACGGGAGCGGGAGTTAGGCCCAAAGAGTTTTCCAACATGTAAATCAGATCTTGCTAGTTTTCTGCCCCAAATCCTCTGTGGCTGTGGTAGGCTGAATAATGACTCTGAGGGTCACGAGATGGGGAGGTGACCCTAGATCAGCCTGGCGGACCGAGTGCAATCACAAGTATCCCTGTAAGAGGGAAGCAGATGTTTCACAGAGGCGGCCATGTGACCACAGAAACAGGCTGGAGTGACGCGGTTACAGCACAGGAACACCAAGGATGATGGGGGACCGTCAGAAACTAGGAAAGAGGGAAGAATGACGCTGGTATACAGGGTCCTGTGTCAGAATCTGAGTGGCCCACAGGGCTCACACAAAGCTGCTCCTTTGATTTTGTCTCCTCCTGCTTCCCGAGCTACCCAACACGTCCTTAAGATTCTTCAGGTTGCCCCAGGAGATGTGGATGACAAGGAAACAGGAAGGTCAAGGGGGGACTAATGTAGCCTTTGGCATCACAAAAGGCGAACCCTGACTCTGGGTGACAGAGGATGTCACAGGTGACACTGGCCTGGCTGCTAGGAGCACTCAGGGCTGAACCCCCTGCTTTGGCCCCCAGCCCCCTGCCCCCAGCCCCCAGCCTCTTTTCTCCCCAAGGAAAGGAAGCCATATTTGTGCCATTTGCATAAATGAGACCCTGACAAGCCAACACATTTCTTATCTCGAACTTTATTTGGCAGATGACTTTTGCTCATTTTACTCAAGAACTTCTGGGCCTGAGGCATGGCCACCCAGCATGGAAAGATTGCGGTGCTCTTGTGAGGTGTTCTTTGGCAGGTGACTTTTCCTTCATTTCCAACCAGGGGTGTGACGGGCCTAGGAAGGGTTAGTGACACCTTCTGTATCTCCTCCTCCTGGTCCTTCTGCCTCCTTTCAGAAAAGAAACCTCTGGTCATAGGGCCGTCTAGGCGACCTGGGCAGGGCTGGGGTTTGGGGACTGTCTGATGGGGTGGGGTCCCAGGGCGTCACGAGCCTCCCACTACCCTCCTGTGCCGGGGCCTGGAGGCATCAGGGATGCCAGAGGGCAGCTGGGACGAGCCGAACCTCTGCAGCGCCTCCGGCGCCTGCAGGTGCGTCTTCGGCGGCGTCGGCATGAGCAGCGCCGCCTCCTGTACAGCCGCCGCCTCCGGGAGCAGTGCCTGCGTCTGTAGTGATAGCAGCCCCGGAGCGTCCGTCCCTCCGCCTGGGACTCCTCCGCATTCGGGTCCTGCTCCTGCTCCTCACCCTGCCGCTGTGGACTTTCACTCAGACTCCTCTTGTGGTGTCGGACCATTGTGATCACAGGTCAGGCACTTAGGCTAAGGCTGCAGCTGGCTTTATGGGCAGGGGAGGAGGGCTGAGGCCTGCCCACCTGCTCTTGCTGTTGTTGGTCTGGTCTGCTGGCAGCTCTCTGGGCACTTGTATATAAAGGGGGCCCCCACTATGACTTGGCAGCCCCACCCCACCATTGTCCTCACCCTGGGCCCCCCCTCTCTGTGAAGAAAACATAGAGCAAGGGTCCGTCCATAGCCAGTGGGGCCCGGATGGGCAAGCCGATCCTTCCTGGTTCTTTGTAGCAGGTGGGACTCTTGCCAACCTTTTATTGTCCAAATCTAAGCCCTTTTCTCACCCAGCTGGTGGGAGTCCACACACAGCCATTTTTGAAGCTTCCTTATCACCTTAGAGGCTGTGCCATGGGTGGGACTTCATTATTGCTTATCTGTCCAATAGTTATTCAGTGGTTACTATATGCCGGACATTTAAGTCATTTACTTCCCATACATTTGCTCATTTAGTCCTCACTGTAATAATCCCCTTTTCATAGGGAAAACTGAGGCACAAAGAGGTTAAATGACTTCTTCAAGGTCACTGCAAATAAGGGGCTTCGGAGTCCATGCCCCTTATTTGGGGGCTTTCCCAAAGCCCTCAAGGGGGATTTCCACTCCCTCCCCGGCCCTCTGTACTTTAATGATCCCATTAAAGCGGAATCTGAATGATAGCAACTGGTTTCCCTTTCATACACAAAGTTATCCATGCCCTAAGCCCGTGAATATTACTTGGCAAAACGGACTTTCTGGGTGTGAGTTAGGGGTTTGGAGATGGGGAACTCATCCTGGGACTATCCTAGGTGGGTTCAAAGGTAGTTACATTTATCCTTAAAAGATGGGGAAAAGAGGCAGGAGGGTCACATCCTTGAGATTCTTCAGGTTGCCCCAGGAGATGTGGATGACAAGGAAACAGGAAGGTCAAGGGGGGACTAATGTAGCCTTTGGCATCATAAAAGGCAAACCCTGACTCTGGGTGACAGAGGATGTCACAGGTGACACTATGGCTGGGCTGCTAGGAGCACTCAGGGCTGAACCCCCTGCCCCCAGCCCCCAAGCCCCTTTTCTCCCCAAGGAAAGGATGCCATATCTTTTCGATTTGAAGATCCTATGCCACCGGCTTTGAAGACGGGAAGGAAGGAAAAGCTTGCTCCTGTGGTGCAATCGGTGAGCACGTGGTCCTTACCCAGCAGTGTACGTGCTGGTGATGCCGAGGCTGTGAAGATGGAAAGGGGACGTGGCTCCACCCACATCCTGATTTTAGCCCCGTTGAGCCCCATGTTGGAATTCTGTCAGATAATAAATTTGAGTTATAAGCTATGAAGTTTGTGGTAATTTGTGACAGTGGCCACAGGAAACCAATACAGAGACTTAATTTCATCTTGGTGTTCACATGCATTGAGGTGGTGACGGATTTGTCTAGCCATCTGCCATTATTGTCTGACTGGGGGCAGGAAGCCGTCTCAGATCCCCATTTAATGCCCTCACCTGAAAAGATGGTCATCCATACCAAGCTTGCAAGATTCGGTGTGAGGGCTGGAAGGGGTGAATGCACGCTGCTTCTACACTACCGTGCCTGACACAGGGAGGGCACTGGCATGTTTCTAGGTGGCCCTGTCACACTGGGGAATAAGTCTCCGCCTGGGGCTTTGCTTTGCCACCAGTGAGATTGTGAAGTGAGCCCAGTAGACCGATGTCTGAAGCATCTTGTGAACCATCTCCACGTCTGACTGGTTTAAGCCGTCAGTGTGTCACATGAGTTGAGTGGGCAGACGAGACGGTCATGTTACCATGTTTTCCCCTTCATAGGTTCAATGTGAAAGCTTAACGGAACCTGGGCAAGTGACCACCACTGTACCCAAACCAACAGCTTTGGCAAGAAAGAAACCTGTGGGCATTGGGGGGAACTGGTGGGACAGTGTTGAGCTTGAGCTGGACAATGTTTATCTGGCTCTTTGGGGCAGGGGCAAGGGAGAACAGGGTCCCCCAAGGGGCAGGGAAGGAGAAAGAGGGACAGATTCAGTGTGTAGTTGCTTCTCGCACACCAGCTGGGTACCTGGCCCGCGCAACCCTGGCACATGCCCTGACTGGGAATTGAACTGGTGACCCTTGGGCTCGCAGACCCACGCTCAGTCCACTGAGCCACACCATCCAGGGTTCAGTGGTTCATTTCAAGCTGCCAACAGAGTCATGGAGTGGACAGTTGCAGGAGAGATGCACTCAAACTAGTGTGACCTGCCTCCTGTGCCCACTGTGGGGGAGATCCATAAAGGGGTGGTTGGAGAGGCAGATTTTGATTGACTGGGTAGTCAAGAGTTTGAATTCATCGTGACAACTGTCACTTATGTCCCCCCTTCCCGGCATCACCAAGCCCTCCTCTCCCCCCGGTCCCCTTCTCAAGGCAAAAAGGACAAGAGTGGGGTTATTTTTTCAACGTTTATTGACAGGCGGCGTTGTTCGTTAGCAGGCTCCTGTTCATTTCATTGGCATGGTGGCATGTTCAAGATGTTGCGAGAGGGTCTTGTGGGCCGGTAAAATTCAGGCAGGAGTGTGGTGGACTTGCTGGCTTGTGCCTTTAGCCTCTTATCTTCTCCTACACCTCATGGTGTAGCGGCGGCAGCACACTGGGGAGCAAGATGAGGAGAAAGGAAATTTCAGGGTGCGGTGAGCCCCCAGCTCCGCCCAACTCCTCTGCTTTCCTACCAGCACGGGGACCCCCTTTACCTCTCCTCCGCCTCCGACAACAGCGCCTCCTTCGTCTGCGACATCTTCGTCTACGGCGGCGGCATCTGCTCCGGCTTGGGCTGCGGCAGCATCTGTACCTGGCCATGGTGCTGGATGGATTCGGCCTGGATGCTCAGAGCAGGGGTACCACCTTGACCGAGCCAGCCAACCTGTGAGCAGGTGGAACTTTGTGGGCTGTGAGCCAGGGGCTGGCTCCTGGGCCTTTTATAGACATAGCAGGACCCCGGGCGTTGTGAGGTCGCAGAGGTCTGCACCTCAGATGAAACCAAAGGGGTCCTGCATCATGTCCATATATGGGCATGTGGGAGGCCCTTGGTGAGGGCAGGGTGGGGCTGCCTGTGTCACTAGCCACAGGATGACTTCTCTGTAAAGATAAGCACTCATTCATTCAGTCAATTAACAAAATATTATTGTGTACCTACTAGGTGCCAGATTCTGGGCCGGATCCCAGCATACATGATAAATAAGGCAGATATGTTTTTGTCTAATAAAACTTCTAGCTACAGGAAACACTAATGAAATAGCCACACAGAATCATTGTGAAAAATGCTGACAAGAGAAACTTCAGATTTTTATGAGGGTATATGTTGGGGGGACTTGACCTCATGGGAGGCCCTGGGAAAGCCCCCTAGGCAAGTGCTGGGGAAGTGAATTCCTAAAGGCTTTGCTAGAGTTGGAGGATGGAAAAGCATCTGGGAAGGGGGAATGGCCAGTGCAAAGTTCTGAGGCAGCACGGAATGTGTGATTCCACTTCCAGGAAGTGTCCCAAAGAGGGAAATCCACGGACACAGAAGGCCATTTGTGGTTGCTGGGAGTGGAGGGACTGGGAAGTGACTGCTTAGTGGGTACAGTTTCCTTCTGAGATGGTGAAAACAATTTGGAACTGGACAGAGGTGGTGGTAACACAACACTGTGAACATGCCAAATGCCACTGACTTGTTCCCTCTGAAATGATTGGTTTTATGTGAATTTTACCTTCATAGAAAAGTTTTGAGGCCAAAAGATGCTTGGCCGGTGTAAGGAATCAAAGGGAGGCCCACAGATTTGGAGCAGAGGGGTGGGCAGATGAGACCGGACGACTCTGAGCTTCCTGCGATCTTTCCCAGGTCCCCCAGGAATTTCAGGAATACAGAGGGTAGCACTTTTTATTAGATTTGGTTACTTTCATTTTTACTGGAGTGACATTGCAGATTTGGTTACTTTTAAGAGCAAACCAAAATAAATGACTTTAGCATAGAAGTTTTATGTTTTACTTCAGAAGTCAGAGGACACTTGGATGGTCGTTAGAGTGGCCTTGTTTGGAGGTGCCCACGCTGGAGTAGTTAGGGATGAAGGGCATCATGTTTGCCAAGTGCTCGCTGGTGACCCAGAAAAGGTAGAGGAACGGCGGGTTCACATCTACACAGAGAAAGAGGCGAGGAGGGTGGTGGGAGAGGGGAGTGGGGTAAATGGAATAGAATGGTAACAGTTGACATATTGGTAACATGTCATGGAATAGAATGGTAATAGAATGGTAACAATGAAATAGAATGGTAACAATGGTCTGGGTCAGGGGGAGTTCTTTGCATAGTTCCTGCAACCTTTGAAGTTATTTCAAAATAAACCATTAAACTTTTTTTTTTAAACGGAAGGAGAAGAAGTCAGGAGGAAGGCCTTCCAGGCTGATGTAGGGCTCCACCCTTACCAAGGGCCCGGGGCTTCTTTCATCCTTCGGCTCTGCCCTCAGCAAGCACTTTCCATCCTCAAGCCTTGTAGGCCACAGTCGGGGCTGCCAGGGACGGCTTTGCAGTTGGTGTACTGCTCAGAACTCTCAGCCTAGGGATTGATGAGGATGGAAGTGCAGGCCCAGGGCCCGTAGATGTGCGTCCCCCAATATGGCTGCTTACCGTGGAAGTCTTTTTCTAATTTGAAGAAAGGCACACTAAGGACTAGCCTTGGCCCTCCTGGGAATTCCTCCATGTTTACTATCCAAGCAGGAAGTGAGAAGAAGAGGAGGTAGGTAAAGTGAGTCATTGCCCTGTGAAGAGTAATGACTATGTGAGCACCCTGCCCCTCAGGATAAAGCGGAAGCTTTTAGAAGGAGAAAGGGGTCAGTGGGTAGATAGTTAGTGCTGTTTGTCCCAGTGGGGTTACAGCCAGAACCTCCCAGAACCTCCCCACAAACTCACAGCAAGGTAGAACTCAGGGGACTTGAAACTAAAGTTCACTGAGTTACCAAGAGGGC